GTTTAGGGTTTAGGGTTTGGTGTTGCTGAGACAAGCCCTGTTTAGTCCTTAAGAGAAGCACCATGCTCACTTTGTTTGAGTGAGCAACCGTTTGAGAAACCCTCTCTCATGGGGCAGCGGGAGAGGCGAAGAGGAGCTGATTAACTCCTTGAAGGGGGTATATAGCGGATGATAGACGGGAGTATTGTAGGGGTACCTACGGGGATACTAGGAGTTAAGACAATGGCTCATGCGTTTCCCCATGTCATATTTGAGACTTCCGAATAAGCCTAGCCTCATCCCATGCGACCTTATCACCCAATCCTTTGTGCATTGCTTTGAACACTCACGTCGCAGGATCGGCTGAAAATGGATGCGAGACATCTTGCACGAATGATGTTGCCCAGTTTTGTTTCTGCACAACGCCAACCCAGCTTGATAAACTTATAGAAACCTAAACCTGTGCCCATGGTTCTTACCCTAGCCTTCAAAGAGGCCAGACGAGACCCTGCATACAGCTAATTCTAGTTGCGCATACCTTCGAAGCCTATTCCAATTCTGTCCGTGAATTAACCCTGAACCCTAAATCCTGAAACCTTAAGCCCAAACATCCGGGGGCTCCAAACCAGATCCTGAATCCATTTCCCTTAGCGTCAGGGCCCTAAACCCTAAACCCTACACCCCCCTAAACCCTAAACCCTCCTCGAGTGTTCTAAGGCCCGTTTGCCCATGGGCCCCGGGCTCCTCGGCGTTGGGCTCAGCTTTACCCCCTTTTGGCTTTAGGGATTTAGGGTTTAGAGTTTAGGGTTTAGGGATTGGATCTTCGGATTGGGATGAGCCTGGACTCTGAGATAGTCCCGTCGAAGAGGCACGAAACGGTAACAAGCTTCAGGGTTCAGGGCTTAGGGGTTTGGATTTTGTGCGCCATTATTTGGCCTGGCACGCCATGAGGTGGTCTAAGATTCGCTCAAGACTACGGTCCCTTCAGACATTCCTTTGAACTCCAAAAGGCGATAGAATATAGAGAAGTTCCTAATTTGCCCCTGGTCCGCTAGGAAGAAGTACCCTTAACAGAACTAGGTGGTGACGTTTGGGGGAAGTTTGGCTGGGCCGGCCTACTCAGAGTGGAGTTCTCAGCATGTAGATTCTTGGGTGAAATGGGTACTAAACCCTAAACCCTAAATGAACCCTAAACCCTGATCAGAGTCTGTACCTGCACTCTCTAGCTGCCCTCTATTGGAGCCTAAGAACCCACTATCAGGGAACCTATAACCCAAACTAGGGATACCAGGAGGGTGTTGACGTGAACCGTCATCAGGAAGGCTATGTGAGCTATAGTCTACACTCCATAAAAGGGGTTACATAGGGGATTACGTGCGGGCGTATTATAGGGTTTACTAGGGGGGATACTAGGAGTTTAGACTATGGCACATGTAGATTGAGCCTCGAGGGATCTAGGGTATGTACACTGAAGCTGCAAGGATCAATCTGCGGTGGCGGAAGCACAGCGACAAGCCAGTGATCACATCGGCAATGCCGGGGCCCCAGTGGGGTGAGTAGCGAGGATAGTGTTCAAGGTTTAGGGTTATGTTTAGGGTTTAGGGTGTTGGGTTGCATGGGTATCTACCCAGACCCCCTACAGGATCCAAAGCATGGATCCGGGAAGAAGATGGCCCCTTTACTACGTTGGGGAAGCTGCGTTCTCTTGGGGGGGGGGGGGTGTTCCATGCTTTGGGTCCTTTAGGATGCTTTGGGTACGTGTTCCTTTTGTCCTGATACCTGCCTGCGCTTGAATCCTGGTCAAAGTTTTGTAGTGATTTTGCTAGCACATTTCGGTTTGGAAGGTGAAAATCCTAACTGATCAAGCCCAAACACATCTGGTTTGAAGCCTGAGGATAGAAATTTGCTGAATCTGCTTCAAGTCGCGGTCAGGGGAAGGTCTTCACCATGTCATCCTTACTAAAGCAAAGCCAACCAGGTATAGTTTGCCAAGTCCGGACCTTCTGACCTTGTTGAAATTCTTTAGATTGCACGTTTAAATCAAGCAAGAGAACCCTCACAGAGTTAATAAGATGGAATCGGTAATCCCAACCCCACAAGAAGGACGCCAACACCATCATATTCACCTGGCCGGCGGTTACCTCTAGATCGCACATGAAAGGGCTTTGGGCTTCAGGAAGGCCATGACCATAAGATCCTAAACCCTAAACTCTAAACCCCTAAACCTATAGCCCCATTATAATAGTAGTTTCCATTTTCTTTTCCATTATCCCTATATTCCCCCTATATAATAAACCAAAACCCCTAACCGTAAACCTAAGTGGACTCGGAGTCGGACGGCCGATCATCTGTAATCCCTTTTCATATGAGCAATGATCTAAACTCCTTAGAGGGGGTTATGTAGGGTATTATATAGGGGAGCATTATGGGGCTTGTTAAGGGGGATACTGGGAGTTTAGACTATAGCTCATATGAGCCATAGTCTGAACCTTTCGTATCCCCCTTTAGAAGCCCTATCCCTATGATATAACCCCCCTTTAAGGAGTTCAGACTATGGCCCATATAGGAGTTAGTTGTTCTAGAGGTCTTCATTTTAAAAAAAGGGAATCACTGGGAGTATACTTCCAGAATCCTATCCGAAAATGAAAACCACCCTATGGCCATTTGTCAGACAGCCGTCGTGAAGGACTGCCATGTGTAACTATGCCGTTTTTGAAAGCCTATGAAAAATTGCAATGCATGTTGGCACTCTTGTATTGGTCAGCATCACGAGTCCCTTAACAGCTGCTAGACTACTACAGTAATAATAGGGAAAATATGAGCAATAACAATGGTAGAAAAGGCAATAGTAGTAAGAATATTCATAGTAATGCTAATAATAGCATATATTGAGAAAACACTAGGTTCTGGGACTGAAAGCCATGTCTTTGCAAAGCTTACTGGGTCGTCGCAGTGACTGGAGATATTCTTGGCGGATTTCTCTGGAGCACGGTCAAGGGCCCATGTATCATAAGTCTCCACGCAAGGTCTACCAAACGCATGCCGGCACATTGGGCAGTCTCTGTTGGGCCTGTGGCAGGGTCTGGTTCCAGGCGCTAAGCCGCTAGGGACATACCATGCTTATACTGAGGCTCATGGTGTCCAATAAGATGTATGCTCGCCTCCTATCAAAGGTATCCACCTGATAACCCCTAAACCCTAAGCCCCAAACCCTAAACCCACCCGCCTGGCCCCAAACCCCAATCCCTGAATTCGGAACCGTGTAGTGGCCAAAAGGTCCTGACCGACCTCGTGGCACAAAAGATTTCTAAAGAGGTGCAGGAGACGAAAGCTACCCAAGCCTAGCATATTGGGGCTGTGCCAAAGGTTTAGGGTTTAGGCTTGAGAATTTTGAGTTTGGGGATCCAGGTTTTGGGTGTAGGGTTTTGGGTTTGGGGTTGGGGTTCCTGATTTTTTGAACTTTCCTCCCTTGCAAGATGGGATGTCTTGAAGAAAGAGTAGGCAAGAGCCTTTTGGTGTTGTGTATCTTAAAGATCAAGTCAAGTGTAGGTCTAGCTTAAGAAGGCACAAACACCGGGAGTCTGTAGCTAGCCTCCCATCCCGAAAACGAAGTTGGCTTGCGGCAGACGCATGGACAGCATTAATATGCAGACATCAAGTCCCTGAGCTCATTGCTTTTTGGGCATCCCCCCTCATAACCCCTATAGTACTTCCCTATAAAATCCCCTATATGGAGTTTAGATTGTTTTGGTTTCGTTGCCTTTGCACCCCTTTTGTCTTTCTGGTTCAAGCCAGATGCTGCTTGCGGCTGCAAAGTGTAACTTACCAGTTCTTAGTTAGCAGGGAATAAGGGAATGTAATCCCTGTAGACTCCCTACATGATATATTCCCTATTCCCTACGAATCCCCGGTAAGACAAGCATTGAACTTAGGCTAGAGCGTCATTTGAGGCTTGCAGTTCAAGGTTGGGTGTCGACCTGGCCCAGATCAAAGGTGCTTATCCCGCACACACCCTTGCTGACTTGTGCTTACGGCGGAGTTGCGGGGGAGATCCCTGTAAGCATAGCTAATTGACAAAGAACACCACTGCCCCCCAAGCACCGGTAATCGTGAGGTCAATTTTTGTGGCTGAATGCTAAACCCTAAACCTTAAACCCTCGAAGACCTCAACCCCTGAATCCTCAATCGACCCCGCAGCCCCGTGCCCTTCCCCATGCTCTCTGCCCGTCCCGTTGAACCCCATTGATGAGTTCCAAAAAATTCGGAGTCGTTTGGTGTTTTTTGTAATACGGATTACAATGTTTTTGGGTGTATGTGGGGGTCCTTGATTTAAAGGAATTACCATGATAGACCCCATCATGAAGGACCACGTTGTAGGCTCCCTGGCTTCATTTCAGGTTCCATGAAGCATGAAGCTCTAAACCCTCAACCCCAAACCCTAAACCCTGAACCCCAAACTCTAAACCCCAAACCCTAAACCTCAACCTTGAATCCCAAACCCTAAACCCAAGGCCCCAACCTCTACTTTGTGAAAGGAGCACAAGCCAGTGACACTCTGGATGTCTCAAGGCATGTCGAAGTCAAGCCGACCTGTACTTGGGCTCATACACAGGGTTTAGGGATAGAAGCCCAAGACTGGACAGTCAAATGTAACAACAACGGAAAATGCTATGAAAACTGGGGTTGTACAGGGGGTTATAGGCATTATAATGTAGGGAAGCTTAAAATGAGCACCGGTATTATGTCAATAGATTCCTTGTGTGTATAGTATAGGGTACCCAAAAAGACTTTAAAGCCAAAGTTTGTGATTTTCACGTTTCCTACATTACATATTCCTTTCAACGTACGCGAATATGAACCCAGTTTCCATTTATGTTCGATCTGCTTTTTACATCTGATTCTCCGTTCTTGGGCGCAAGTGGAGATGGAACTTCAATGCTTCGTTTTGGACCCTAAACCCTAAACCCTAAACCCAAAGTCGGGCCTGTGTCATCCGAGTCCTTAAATACTCAGGGTGCACCTCTATAATAACGGCCAAGGAAAAATACAGGTCCTAAAGAGCAAGGCTTTTCAGATCCGGTCAGCCGCAGTACATCAAGATTCAAGTTTCAGGCTGTAGACTCTTAGGATGGCCTCAAACGTCCATTCTTTGATTAGATTCCAGGAGTCGTTTGGCCCGAAAATGCCTCTGCCTTGAAAGTATTCTTTGACTCCTAAACTGGCCAATGTCTTTTCTTTTGAATCTAGGCGGTTCCGTTAGTGTTGAGCTCGGATTATAATGTTGAAGCCGGAGCGTTACCATCATTTTTTCCGTCGTAGCCTTTTCACAACTAAAGTAAATGCATCTCCAGCCTATCTTGATTGCTCAGGCCCCTGCATAGCTTGGGTTGCAGAGCTGTCTTGCTTTTGTTCGTTTTGGGTTCGCTTGTGTCGCTCTGGACGGCAGAGTCCGGCCTTGGAATTATGCTTTTCAACATACGAACGCAGAGGGCGAGTCAGGTAATGGATTCGAAAGCCTCTTCGAGTTGTTTCTTACCCGCCTAGTAACCCCAAACCCCCTTCTAAACCCCAAACCCCTTAACCCTAAACCCTAAACCTTCTGAGCAGCCAGGACGGTGGAGCTTTCCCTGGACACCTCTGCCGCGGTGAGAATTGACGCCTGCAGCTTTGAACTTTAGGGAGCCCCAGCAGGTATAGTCCCCCTGAAGTAGATAGAATATAGGCTTCAGGGTCTAGGGATTAAGGGTTTAGGGTTATAGTCCCCCTTAAGTAGATAGAATATGGCTTTGGGTATATTATAGTACGATCCTCATTTATCCCATGTTCTATCTACTTAAGGGGACTATAGGCAAGAGCGTTCAGGGGCAAATTCCTTTGCCATCAACCGTACAGGTGCTCCCAATCCTAGACTACAGTTGTGAACACAAATGTGACTGTTAGTAAGCGTTTTGCAAAAGGGCTCAGGATTCAGGATTTGAGGGCTTCACAAATTGGAGTTCACAGCAAATTATTCTGCTCTCAAGACCATATCCGTTTTATTCCACCTAAAATCCGAAAACCAGAGCGCAAAAAGGTGTGTGCAGCTCTGTAGTAGGGTTTGTAAATATGACGCCTGGGTTATTCCCAAACCCTAAACCCTGAACCCTATGGGCAGGCCCTGCGAAAGCCAGCGTTTCAAGCTAGAACTGTCCAGTGTCCCACAAGATCTACCTGGAGGGGCACCTGATGCTTAGCCGCAACCCTAAACCCTAAATCCTAGTTGTACTTCGAACCCAAAAATGGCCATACTTAGGGGACTTGTGGAATTTGTGATTGGGTCAAAACTGCATATATAAGTAGGAAGAGAGAATTGAAGCTCCAAGTAGGGGTGTCCTGTGAACCGTTTTGATTTGAGTTTTTTTTGGCGTATCCTGGCTTCAGTCCGTCCATGCTTGTGCCCTTGTTGAAATTTAGTGGCTACAATGCTATCCCCCCCCCAATTGGTACAACCCTATTAGCCTATTAGCCATTCTCAAGCCCCTTGTACGTAAAGCCCTTGTGTTTGGGTACTCCCTTTAAGCCTCTTCCCTCAGAATGGCAATGTCCCCCAAAATCCTATACATATGAAGCCGAAAAAGCCATGCCTCACGTGGGTGTCATCATCATCAAAACATGCTAGTCCCAAGAGGTGCGTCTCTAATTCAATCACGTGGGTGTAGGGTTTAGGATTCGTGTACGCAGCTGCGCACTGCTGCATTTCAGACTTGTGTGTTGCAAGAGCCCAAACCTTACCATCCCTTGTACGGAGTTCATGAAACTGTGTGGGCTTAGCCCAGCCAGCCATTGACCTTAAAAGGGGGTCATTGTTGGACATGATTTTTGGCGTTCAAATGCAACAAGGCACACCGACTTAGTTCCAGTAGTATCCTTCTAGGGAAGCAGAAAAAAGGTTGGGCACTGAATTTGCCTTCCCACAATGAACCGCACCAGGTCTCCGTGCAGCCGCCGTTCCTGCCCCTGGAAGTGGAACTCAGGCGCATATGCCTTTTTCGCAGCCCAGAAATGGTCAGGGAGCTTTTTGATATTGCTGAGTGGGTTTGTTCAAGGTTGCAAGGAAGGGAGTACAAGGCAATGGCACAGGTGAGTGTACGTTATAGCAGCAGACATGTGAAGATGTGCCTCTACACACCTGTTTCAAACTTCCTGCAATTCCCCTAAACCCTACAACCCTTAGACCCTAAATCCTGGACCCTATACCCCAAACCTCCAAATGCAATTCCCCTAAACCCTGAACCCTAAACCGTAACCCCTAAACCCTAACCCCTACATCCTGAACCCTTAGAGCCTAAACCCTAACTTCATGACTCTAAAGCCTAACCCCTACATCCTGAACCCTTAAACCGTAAACCCTAACTTCATGACCCTAAACCCTAACCCCTACATCCTGAACCCTTAAACCCTAAACCCTAACTTCATGACCCTAAACCCTAAACCCTAACTTCATGACCCTAAAGCCTAAACCCGTGTGCATCCCTTGCTGCGCAGGAAGAAGAGAGCCATGGGCTGGGAGCTTAGCATCATCAGGCATACTCTCTTACTGGGCTTAGTAGGGAATACGGGCCTATAGTATAGGGGGTAAGTATATAGGGGTATATGAGGATATATAGGGTCTAGGGCTTAAGGTTTAGGGTTTATGTAGGGATTACATGCCTTTCTTCCCTACTAATCACCAGCAAGTTCTGGCACGTTCAGCCTCATGAGCTCTCTCTGCAGACTTTACCTACAGACCCCTTGAAGTTTGCGCTTTAAAGCGTCCCCACCCACTTTGTACCTGGGTTGCAGACGTTGGCATTATCCCAAGTCTCCAGGGCCTAGTTGCTCCTTGGTCATGATGTTAAATTACACACCAGCGATGCAACCTGCCTGCTCAGAAAAGCTCGAAGCGCCGGTGGCAACTGCCCAATGGTCCCTCCGGCGAACTTTGTTAGGGCTGCGAGGGCCGGATGAAAATGGTATTAGTTTTAGGCACCCTCCAAGTCCCATATTTGTACTACAAGCTTATCTTGTAGATATGCTATCACTTGAATCTTGGGGAGGGCTGGGTATCCACTTGGTTGATGGGACAAGACTGCTGGGTCATGGTTGGATGTAATTTCAAGCCTTCATTAGACTAAAACCCAACAAGGACTACAACGTGTTTATTACTGAATATTCGCCCACTGAAAGGAACACTCTGAAAGGAACCCTCATGCGCTGTGCTTTCTGGGCTGGGTCAGTGGCTGCACTGAATGAGTCTAAGGGGAGGGTCTGGTAATGGGCGTGTGTGAGGTGCGGGGAGGTTTGGGGTGGGTTGAGAGCTTAGATTTTATGGGTCTACGGATTGAGGATGTTCGGGGATAATATTTGGGCCTGAAGACTTAGAAGAATGCTTCGGGGGCAACACCAACTATAAGTACATAAGGGCTATCAGGGAGCAATAGTGGTCATCATTCAGGCTTCCGCTTTAATCCCCTCTCCCTGATATTAAACCCCCCACCCCCTCTACTATTAAATCCTTCCATCATTTTATAATATACCACATAGTGGGAGTATTTGATATTAGAGGGGCGAGCCTTCACATTAGGGGAAGGGGATTACGTCTCAATGGGCTAAGCGGACGGAGGCTAAGCGGACGGAGACTAAGTAAGGGATTACAATAGTAACACCCCCAAAGGTACCCCCCCCCAGATTTTAGAACCCTATTAGGCCTTAGTAAGTCCTATAGAGTCCTTATTAGCTCCTTAAACCCTGGGGGGGGTACCTTTGAGGGGGTGGTACTATTGTAATCCCTTACAAAGGGCTGCAAGGCGTGCCGCCCTGCGCTCACAGACCTGGAGTCACACTTCCTGGCCAGACATCTAGGGTTTCCGAAAATTGAGGGGTACCTTTCAGGTCTCTAGAATAAGGATCATAGTATTTGAGGGTCTTGTTCCCATGTAATTCTTCAGAGACTTCCTCTACTCCATTGTAATTATGCGAACGAAGCAAACATGTTGGCCACGGCCCCTTTTACAGACGGCCGGGTTTAGGGTTTAGGGTTTAAGTCCAGGGACCCAAATAATATGTTTTTACGGCCCAAATACTATGATATTAATGGTATTTGGGGCCTAAAACCCTATTATTTGGGTCCTTGGACCCTTAGGAGAACAAATTCACAGCAGTTCTTGATTGCTGCAAGCTGAGCTAGTGTATTTCATCTACTCAGAACCGAGGTGGCTTCCCATAAAATTCCCCTACGAGTTATAGTCCCCCTGAAGTAGATAGAATTTGGCTTTGGGTATAGTAGAAGAAGATCCCCATATACCCTACATTCTATCTACTTAAGGGGGGTATATGTTTTGAAAGGGGACCTTGAGAATTCCTTTTAAAGCTTTTTGTGTCCTTAGGGTGCATAGCAGAATTCAAGGTTCCCAAGAATTCTACTTCCTATGGTTTACGTTATTTACAGCTTAGAGTGTCGGAATTCCACACATGCACTCTACACCCTAAACCCTAAACCCGTCCTCAGAATCGGGCGCCCGGATGGCTGAGAGGCCCCACACGCTAAACCCCTACATCTTGAACCCTCGAAACCCCGCATCTGCCAAACCCTAGACCACCTGAATCCTAAACCCTCTAAACCCTAAACTCTCCAAACCCTAAACCCTAACCCTAAACCCTCTAAACCCTAAAGCCTAGAGGCTCCCCCCAGCTCGCCAGGACTGAGCATCGGCTGCTGCTAATGTACAGCGACCTGCCCCCGGGCGAGTGCGCAATTGCGTGAGCAGCACGCGGTTTAGTGGTTTTGGGTGTCTTGTTGGGATTCTATATAGTCCCAAATATGGAGAAACCTGATTGCCTCCTTTTGCATCATAATCGCTTCAAGGGAGAATGTGATCTTACTTGCCTGAACCACCAAGAAACAGTCCTCTTATGGGGCTAGCGGTAGGCTAAGATGTCGCGGGCTTGCGCGCCAAAAAGGGCAGCTTGCTTTTTCCTTTCAGGGCGCTGGCAAACCAGACCACTAAACCCTAAACTCTGAACTTTATAAATCCTCAGACTCCACATGTGCCGTCATCTAAATTTCTTAAATAAGGTTATATAGGAGAGTATTATATTATAGGGGCTATTAAGGGGGAAGCTAGGAGTCTAGACTATAGCTCACATAACCCTGAATCCTGGTTTCTTGCCTCCAACTCCAAATCCCCAAGCCCTACAGGAAACCCTTGTCGCGCAATCTCAGCTTTCATCGGGGTTGTAACAAGAGGGGCTTGGTAACCCTGAACCCCCAAAACAGGACCCCTTTGTGCGGCATTAATTTGGGTGGTTGCGGATGCCAAAACCCTCTTATCAAGATATGTAAAGCTCCATGTTATAAGCAACTGGCATTTAATTTGATTTTTTAAGATTTTACACTAATCCCTAAGCCCCAGCCTACACCCCAAACCCTAATCCGAACCCTTAACCCTAAACCCGTTTCCCGTAAACCCCTCCTATTCCCCCGAACCCTGCCATTACGCGGCTGGGCTTCGTATAGTAGTTTAATTAGATTTTGACTTCGGAATGCGGTCTCCGCGTCGCGGACCCGCGGGCGGCCAAAAGTGAAAAAAGAACAAAGCGGCAAACGGGGTAAGCATATGGCACCCGAAAATGAAGAATCCTTATGTTGTAGTACGTACATATATGCGTCTAACTTATGCCTAGTTTTCTGGCTGCTTTCTTATGCGGCCTCCCTCCTTAGGAGGTCAGCCCCGGGGCTTGTTGGGCTCCCGGTGAAAAACCTTAGCATGAGGCCGTTGGCGCCCTGGTAGTGCTTAAAGTTCACTTCCCGCGCCCGCACCTCGTCCTTTCAGGAATCTTTTTACTTTTAGTGCATTCTTTGTCTTCCTAGTGCAGTTAGACAACTTACAACTTAGATTATGAAGATAAAGCCGCACCTCGTCCAGCTCCCGCATGGAAGGGAGGTCCTGTCGCATAGTGCCGCATTTCTGGCAGATCTAGTTTGTTGGTATCGTCCCCGTAGGAAGGCAGAGAACGTAGAGGAGAACGACATTATGGGATAAGATGTGTGCATAAGGCTCACTAACATATTTCGGAATGCTGGGTTCCAATAGCTTGCGGGCACGCGGCGCCGCCGAGGCGAGGGACAAAAGCCTGCGCAAGAAAGACTAAGCACCACGCTTTGCGAGGGCCAGGGAAAGATTATCAGAACCTAGTTTTCGGGCCGGGTAATAAGAAAATTGGTAAGGGGAGTAGGTCAAGCTACACCACCGCATGATCCAGCCACAGATAACTAGCGACGCTGGTTAACGCATCAGACAAGGGTTCGGTAGTATGTTCTCCAGGCATGCAGAAGGGTTTTCACCTATTCCCCTAAACCCCGCTAGATTTGGCAGGTACCAGGTGAAGTTCTTTCAGCCCAGAGATTACATGGCTTTCTCTGACCAAGCGAAGCAGGCCGCGAAACAGGGTTTAGGGACTAAGCTTTTAGGATTGAGGGACTAGGGTTCAGGGATTAAGGTAGCTTGGGTCTACTGTTGGGGCCCTAGAGTGTGGGTTTTAGGGTTGTCAGGGCATATCCCAGACCACTGGATGTAGTTCGTTCTGTGGTTTGGGACTTTTGTTTGGCTAGGATTTCTTTTAGTACTCCCAAACTGTGCTACATCAAAGTGTTAAGGTAAATGATTAGGGTGCAGTTTGTGGTATAGTTTGCTCTATCTGTATGGAGGCCATGTGAACCGTGCCTTTGACTTGAATGTGCATGTATATGTATATATATATATATTGCTGGTGACAACGCAGTAAAGAAATGCATGAACCATGTATCGAGTACTGCATGCGCTCTATAGGGACTATCAGAGTGCTGCTTGTTCCCTGTGAAACCTTACCACTTCTTTCGCAAGTTGCCAGTAGCACGGCTTACACGTCTTCTCCAAGTACTTCCTTCAGAAGGTGAAGCAGCTGCAGGCAGTCGGAGGAACCCCGACGACATGCCATTTAACGGGGAATGTACTCAGGCTGCTACAGCGCAGGGCCTGGCTGCTGCGTTTACTAGTTGAATATTGCCCCCACGCAGTAAGAGCGGGAGAATCGTTATAACAGGTACAATGTACATACACATAGGCCCTACTATGACCCTCTTCTAGACTGTTACTAGAACGGTTCGAATATATACACATAGGCCCTAACATGACTCTATTGTAGTATAGACTGTTACTAGGTGTAGAGCCAGTATGATCCGTCTTGGGCAGCACCCTAACCATGGCAAGGGGCGCGACGGACCCGTCTTCAGTCAATCTCGGTTTCACAGCGCGTGGTAGACGGCATGGGAGGAAAGACAATGCTTCAATTTGGACCTGACTTTGTTGCAACTCTGCAATTCCGAACAGCGTAGCATTGGCAATGAACTGTTTGAGGATGCCAGTCAATCCTCAGTTCCTCACACCTGAGCAAGTTGACCGTGTACCATCAGTGCTGCTTTTGTTCACTACAGGGGGTGCATGGTTCCATGCCCTTAAACCCTAAACCCTGCATTGTCCCAGGCCATACTAACCAATGTGGGGTCCTGGGCTCCAAGCTGAGGGTGGTTCCCTAAACCTTGAACCCTAAACCCTGCGTTCTTCAAGTGCTTCAGAACCTGTAGTCCCCTTACGTAGATAGAATATGGCTTTGGTATAGTAACCCTATTTCCTGCTTTTATTATCTGTCCTGATTATACATCCCTAAATAACCCCGATTTAGGCCCAAAGGTCTCTAGGGTTTAGGGTTTAGTGTTCAAGCTTTAGGGTTTGGGGCTTTGGGTTTAAGGTTTCATGTTAAAGCCCTGAACCGGCTTCAAGTAGTAGGCTCGAAGCAGTCTTGTAGGTCCATCTTTCCACACATGTACTGGTGCTTCCCAAAATCAGGTATGACGTTCGTCTGCTAGAGTGCCATAGCTCACTACGCCTAAGGCTTTCGGTTTATGCCGGATATTCAGCATCAAACGGGTAGGGAAACCCATTTGAAACCAGATGGTATCATACGGTTTCTTATAACCATTGCAACAGAGAACGCTGGTGTTTTCTTTTGTCATATGCCTTCGCAGCCCCTACACCCTAAATTCCCCCATCATCCCAGTCTCCATGTCATTTTCCATCCTGTTTTCTGGTTGATTCTCCTCTGCAGCCCTTAGCCCGTACCCTTCCTATACCACCTGACCCTATATAGGTATGCCCCTACAGAAACCATACATACCCTAAACCTGAAACCCTAAGGTATGTCCATACAGAAACCTGAACCCCATGCCCCTACAGAAACCATACATAC